CTTTGAAAAACAACACACTAATGACGCTGTTACCCTTGGAGGGGGCATTGAAAATACTCCTTGTGCAAAACCAAATGTGTAGCGTGAGCCCTTATGCGGAAGCCGGTTATCCCAATTTAATTTTCCTTCCTCACCTGGCTGAGAGAATAACGCCATCTCCCTCCCAGCCAGAATGGGGAGACCCCCTGTTAGGTCTCGCATGCACTTTAGCGGGGGCTAACTCATATGGACACCTCGTGGTAAGGTAAGCCAACGGGTAATCTCAGTTTTGCGCAAGTAGTCCTTCAAATGCCCTTAGGAACCCCAGCGAATGGTAGGCAAGTAAGGGAAGTACAAGAGGAAGAAAGATAGAAGCGTTTTTTGGGACTAAAACTTGCGTTTCAGACGATGTGAGAAAGAAGAACCGGGAGGAAAAAATAAAAAAGGAAATTCAGAGAGTGAGAAGTGAATTTGGATGGAGTCACTGAAAGTTCTGCATTCGCCAGGAATTGAAAGTTCCATTCAGCTGAGAGTAGTCAGTTTGTGGACTGAGGTGGAAGAGGTCAGTGAGCAGGTAGTTGTCCGTCGGTCCACCCGAGTTGGTTTGGTGTCGTTGTGTACACAAAGGCGTCGCTAATCGTACAGCTAAACAAGGGTCACACGCGTTATTCTCGGCGCATCCTCATTCTGCAGGCTGTCTATGGACGAGGAAACATGAACTCCAACACATCCCCACACTCACACTTCCATCGAGCATCATCGTAATCCCGAAGGGCAATGAGATTTCCGATTGGAGAACGAGGGAACTGGGTGATAGTGGGACAAACTGGTCACAGGCTGGTCAGCGGAACGACTGGTTCTGTGACTACAGAACGGCAGGAGATGTCGTATTCTCCCCTGCCGTGGATGGCATCCCATTCAGAAAGCTGAATTGAATGAATAGAATATTCATTCAGCATATGGAAAAGTCGTCGGTGCCATATTGTATGAGAGAGCAGCATGGCACGGAAGATTTCTGCAAATTTTGCAGCTAAAAGTGTAAAGATTGTAAAATGGCAGAGAAATGGAA